TTTGAATGTGTTGCCATTTATTGGAGAGAGCTCCTGTGCTAAAATATAGTGCTGTAAAAAAACAACAAAAAAAACTATTTATTTCTTCTGTTTTTGTTTTTGTGGCTCACACTAAATGTGTCTGATGAATGAAATTTTAAAATCAGGCAAAGATGATTTTGCCTGGTTTCTGAATACAGAAACCATTGGGCGCACACAGTCCCCAATCCCTGTTTTACCAAAACAGGTTTATACCTGTTTTACCTGCTTGGATGCATGAAATGGAGCGCAGGATAATGTTATTGACTCTGAGTTAAACTATGAGGAAATTTCACCAGTTTGTGGTTTGCAACTCAAATACAGTTCAGTTAGTTGACGTCATTCCTCAATTCAAGGTTTGACACTCCAGTAAAATTGAAACCCAACCTTCAAGCTCTGTGATGAAGCTGTTAAGTCCAAGTTTGAGATAATAAAATTTGAATTTGTGAAATAAAAGTAAAATCTATGTACAGTTTCCTTAAAAGTCCATGTTTTTCTTTACCCACATAGGTATGCTCTATTTTTTGAATGGTATTTTATTTTATTTATTTTTATAATTCAACCATTAGGTATGCAGCCTTCTTTTGTAACACAACCACATATTTTTATCGACTTGAAAAACCCATTATGAGGTTGACAGGTTAGTGGATGTAACTGAGTGTTTGCTATGTTTTTTTTTTTTCTGATAAACCTACATTTTGCTTCAGTGGTTTGTTTTTGGTTCTCACTTTGTTCAAAATTTAAACTAAGATTTCAGTCTTTTGTTAGCCTTAGATGACATTTTTTTTAAATATATTTTGTAATTTCAGATGAAACATGCTGTAAAAAGTCTATCTATCTATCTATCTATCTATCTATCTATCTATCTATCTATCTATCTATCTATCTATCTATCTATCTATCTATCTATCTATCTATCTATCTAGATAGATAGATAGATAGATAGATAGATAGATAGATAGATATATTGCTTACAACAAATGACACTAAGCAGAACATTTTTTAAAGTATACTAATAAAGATGTCATTAATGTTGTATAAATCTACTAAAGTGTGTGGCTAATTTTGCGTTACAGCTCTCAGGAATGTGCAATGTAAAGACGTGAATTTGAACTGAATCATGTTCCATAGTTTTTCTAAAAGCTTTGCTTTTTTAAAGCAAATTTTCTGTCTGAGTTTCACTTCCTTGCACACTGCAAGGAGTTTTGCACTCACAAACAACAACTGCATAGTACCGCTTTAAAGTTTGGCAACTGCATCTTTCTTTACTCAAACTTTATCAGCCTCTCACAGAACTCAGTATTTTCCACTGATCACCACAACCTTCTGCCAAGAGAAGAAAACCTCATTTAAACTCATTTGTGTTTGTGGCTTTTATAGCAATTTCCTCTGTTGGAGGAGGGGATCTTCTTTTTGTTCTGCCACCAGAGCTTTGACTCAATAGTCCAAGCAGCCTGATTGTTACAGTGGTCAGACTGCCCTGTGCTCACACAGAGGATCTTTTCCACTGCAAACAGAAGTGAAGAGGCCAATCAAATCGCTGTTCTTGCCTGAGAACATTATGTCAGTGCCAGACAGTGTGTTGTTTGGACACTGCACACCGGGGGTTGGTGTGAGGATTTGGGAACATACAAAAGCTCTCGAATCATCACAATGCTCCAGCTCCGCCGATAGATAAACTCCGCTTTGAATCTGAGTTTAAAGATCACTTTTTACCGCTGCTTTTTGACTTCACTGAGAATCAGTTGTACAATGTTCTCTCTTCTCTGTCTCGCTTGGCTGTCTTGCACTTGACACCCATTGGTAGTTGATAAACACTTACAGTTTCTGCACAGCTCTGGGAAATAATTCTGTGAAAGAGGAACTATACCCTCTTGCTGTGCTCTCATTAGAAAAGACTGCTGGAGCACCAGATGAAACACAAGAACGTCACTTTTTTTTTTTTTTTTGTGGTGAAAGAATATGTAAAATAATACAGCCAGATGGCCTTCTGAATGCCACATTGCCTTGCTCACACTGAACACTGGGAACTTCACTATGTGAGCTTTTGTGCACAATACAGAAAATGTGCATTCATCCTCACACAAGGATTTCAGCAGCTGCAGGAAAATAGGCTTTTTTTTTTGGTAAAGCATGAGTTGATTCCTCTTAAAAACCTTTTTTTGTACCGCGCTTGGCTTCACTGACTTTTAAACATGAAATAGAGAAAATATTAGCAGATTTTGCCATGAAATGAGAGAAAGTAAGCAAAAGTTTATTAAGGACCAACTTATGCATGGAAAAACAAGTGTGTGTGTGTGTGTCACTTTAATCAGTACTGTTGAGTGAGTTATGACATTTTTTTTAATTGAATGACTTTACTGTGTTACTTTAATCATAAAGTGTATTAAAAGCTAAATTTGTTTTACCTAACAACTTAATCAATCTTATCAAAATCAATAGCTTCATCACCTACGTAATAGCCTAGTAACTAGAAAGCCATCATGTTGCAGTGCTTTGTAGCTTTCCTCTTTTCTTCAATAATGGTGTCACTTGTCTCTTGCTGGAGAATAAACTAAGGAAGACTGTGTTTGTGGCTCCTGGCTGAATTTCATTTGGCTCAGACCAATGAACTGCTCAGAGCAGGGGTTTGAATCAAATTGCTGGTTTGCTGAATCGCAGCAATGCTTCTCCAAAAATGCACAACACAGCATTTAGAAGGACATTGCCCACTAAGGTATGATAAAATACCGAGACTCCACAAAGTTATTTTGGATTCATTAACACATGGGCACGTTATTAGGTTTGTCTGTTCAATATTATATTTGAAACCTGAAACCATGGCTCAGATCCTTCCTGCCTTGCATCAACAGATAAGGTTGGTCATGTTGGTTTAATGTTGTGGGGAATTCTTGGCACACTTTGGGCCCCTTAGCACTAAGTAAGGGTCTGACTATTGTTACTGGTAATGTCCATCCCTGTTTGACCACAGTGTTGCCAATTTTCTGACGTTTATGTCCAGCAGGATAATGCACCATGTCACAAAGCATCAAATAATTTCAAATAATCTGACATATTAAACCTGAATTCATTGTATCCCATCGGCCTTCACGGTCACAGATCTTAAACTATGAGCACCTTGGGGATGTGCTGAAACAAGAGATTTGTCTCTTAGATGTGTCACCAAAACAATCTGCAGCAGCTGTGTGATGTCAATGAGAAAATCTCTGAAGAATGTTTCCAACATCATGTTAAATCTATTTCACAAAGAATAAAGGCGGGGTCAATAGATTCATGCTGCTCACATGGAACCCCTTAATATTTGGTGAACTGCTGATCAACAAGTTGTACTTTGACCACTTGCGTGTGCAGCCACCAGGAAGCTCCTTGCCTATATCTGGCCTTTTTGGTCACTGTTTCTGGCAGAATTTGTTGAGTTCATTAAAAATGTTTGGCTTCCTGGGACAATTTTTTTCTTCCTGCTCCTTTTTCACTCGTCTGCTGTAAATAATATGAGCGGATGTGCTAGTGAATTAATAATGACATTGTCTAATTGTGTGAATAAACTCAAGTGTAGTTGTTTGATTGATTGATTGCTTGCTTGATTGATTGATTGATTGATTGATTGATTGCTTGATTGATTGATTGATTGATTGATTGTTTGATTGATTGATTGATTTGGGAAGACGATTCCAGATGGCTAATTTTAGTTTGCTTTGTTCAATTAATGATCCATTTTCATTGTCCTGTTGAAATATCCATCCCAGTTCTAATTATCTAGATGTGAATTTGGGTTAAAGTTAAAAGATCTTGAAGACTGTTGGCTTTCTCATTTTTATTTTTTTATTTTTTTTACATTTTTCTGTGCAATGCACCAGTACTGCTGACAGTGACACAGACCCCCAACCTCCCAACAAACTGGACATTTGGAATACTGTTTGGTATTGAATACCTTACCTCCTGAAGTTTACTCCTAACAGCCAAATTACTTGATGTTGCCCCAGGAGAAATTTGGATTGTTAATGTGGGCAGCAACATATTTTAGAATTGTCCATTTTGGACGATGATTTCTTCTTGCATCATCTGAGCTCCTGGGCTTCAGTGAAGAATTAAATTGTATTTATGGCACTTCCCAGTTCAGGAACAGGGAGTGACCTTGATTGTGACTGTGTTGTGCCTGAACATCATAACCAACCATAACATAATGATTTACTTGTACTTAGTTGAACTAGAGCTCTTGGAATCTGCAGTGGTTTAGGCTCCAAATGACTTTTCCAATTTGTGGAAATCTATAATTATCCTTCTTAAATTGTTACAGAGATACTTTTTCTGAGTAGTGCTTAATCTAATGTATGCTATCTAATAAAAATAAATTATAGTTTAACACTAGCAGAACTACCATCTGCATTCAATCATGATAGCCCATTAGAGGTCAATTTGAGGTCACTTATTAAAGGATTTGTCTGGATGTATGTTTATATTTGAATTGTATATTCTGGCCATTTATTAAGAAAATCGCTGGTAAATTTAAACTTAACCAAAGAAATTGTATTTTTAAAACCCCAACATTTTTTTATTGCATGATCATCTGACCCTGTAAAAGGAGCACAACAGTTAAATCATCAGAAAAGCTCCAAATTAATATGACCTTAATTCCCATGATGAGAGTCTTTAAACTTCTGACTACACCCCATACACTTACATGTCTATTCTGTCGAGAACATAATTAAACTCATTTGAGATCCTGTGGTGGAGAATTATTGTCTCTCTGGGGAATCTCTGCAGAATAAAACCAATAATTTGGCAGCGGTAAATGTTACTGCTGCACTATTGCAAGTCTCAGAACCCTTACTGTGTGCAAAACTGTTCCAAAAAGGTGACATGATGCTTGTAAAACTTTTGGAAGTAAAACTTCATTTATTCAGCACCATTCAATATAAAAATCACAAAAGTTTTTAACAAAGGATATAGTTTCATATGACAATAAAGACACACAGGACAATATTAAATAATATATAAAAAAAACCCCCATAAAATTATAATGTTTTATCATGCCTTCAAAGGAAACCACTGAATCCACTGATTTTAGAGTCAGAGGAAGGCCATTTCAAAGTCTTGCAGACACAGAGGAGAATGACTCTCTCTCCTTTGGTTTTCAATCTTGTATAGACGACTATCAGCAGGCTTTGATGACAGGACCTGAGGGCCCTAATGGAGGTGTAATGATGTAGTAGTCCAGAGATGTAGACCAGTGTCTGACGATGTAAAGCTATCCAGGTCAAAACAATTAACCTCGAAGTGCACTCAATAATCAACCAGGAGCCAATGAAGTTGCATTAGTAATTGAGTCATGTGACAAAGTTTTTAAGATCTAGTCTGAAGCAAAGCAGCCGCATTTTGTACCGACTACAGCCGGTCTTAATTTAACAGCTGAAAAGCGCACTGCAATAATCCAGCCAAGACAAAACAAAAGCAGGAATTAAAATTTCCATCTCAGGTTGGAAAACAACTGGGCTAAATTTGGCAACGTTTCACAAATAGTAAAATCAGGATTGATTTCTCTTGATGATACAATGCCCTTCTGTGTCAATGTAATCATTCATTATTTTTCTCTTCATGTATCACTTAATGATAAGGACAAATTCACTGCCAACTCTGTAGCCTGCGGTCTGCAAAGAATGTTCAAGATGAAGTAGATAAAACGACAAATTACAAATTCTTCATCAACTCAACACATCTTGACAGTAAGTCCAAAACATTTACAACAGGTGGTTATGTAATATTTTTTGTGGTAAAAGAAAGGCTCTCATCGATGATCACATACAGATGTTTTCATTCACATTTAAAAGTCTGTTGATGGCGTTTTTTTGTCCTGGTGACTGGAAGGCCACATGTAAAATCTCTCTTTATTGTTATTGACATCAGCAAATGTAAAGAATGATGTGACATAAAAGCTTGTGTAATTCATCTGTCACTTATTAACTTTGATAGAGCTGCGGTTGTAAGACTTTTTATAACAACCTCAGTAATTGCTGTTTTTCATGAATCACTATGACAGCGACCATTTTAGAACAGCAGTTCTTAAGGAATTTTGTCATGTGGTGGGTTGTTATTAATCAAAAAAAAAGAGGAGTAACGAACATACTTTTTCATTGAATTTTTACATTTAATTGAAAGATGCCATTTAATAATGCTCTGTTTGTATTTGAGGTTCCAGGTTACAGAGGGAAACAGAAGTTGCCATTTTTAGTGGCAAAGTTGGAGGCTTTTCACCATTCCACCACCACTAAAGCCAAGCAACCACCAACAGATCTCTTGAAGGTTGCTGCACAATCTCCATTTTGTACAGTATGTTACTTAACTCATGCAGGAAAATAGAAGTGACCTGACAAAGTTCTGTTTATCAATCTTTGTCAGGGATTAAGGGGCTTTCAGGCTGAATATTTCACTAACTCTGCTGTGCTCTCAAATCCATTCATTTGTACTGCATGCTCTGTGCAACAAAGGTTTTGCGTTGCGCGATAAAAAGCTCAAGTGGCGCACAGCTCCCACTTTGCTGTGTAGGTGTGAGCAGCTTAGTGGAGCTTGCATCGCACTCTTTCCAAAGCTGGAATTTGCTAAAATTTAACCGTGGTGTGCGGCCGGCTGTGTGGTTGGCGGATACTTGTGCAGCCAATGGAGACACAGTATCTAGCTATTTCACATCTCACAACAAAATGTTTGTTTTTATTGATGGTTTTAGCACAGTGAAAATGCGTTTGCAGATAAAATATGGCCATCATCTACTTATGAAACGTCCATTTAAAAAAAAAAAAAAAAAAAAAAACTGTTCTCTGTTGCGGTTTAATAGAGCGTGGCACTATCAGGGGTATTTTCAGTTTAGCAACACATGTTTCCCTGCAAAACACGCAAGGGAAATTCAGAGAATGCCACATTCGGTCTGAAAGCCACTTTATCAGGAAAGTAAGTGAATTCATAGGAATAGACCAGCCATCGTATGTCCTACTACATCTCGTAAACAAACCCAATAAGTGTTTCTATTTTGCCTCTTAGAAGCATCATTCAACATTAGAAATGCAGAAATGAAGAATATTCTTTCTCAAATTCCATTATTTTAAATTATTTTATGTCTTCAAGACTCATATTTAACCACGTCTTCATGGCAGATTCTGTGCCCATAGAAACTATGGAAAGCTTTCTTCTTTGCAAAATAATAATAATAAAAAAAAAATGTTGTATGTTGAAAGCAACCATTTTGAATGGCACTCATGTTGAATGTACCAGTGGTGCAGTTGGTCATGCCAAAAATGTCTATCTGTCCATCCGTCCTTACTTGAGCTAGAATTTTGTTTGCCCTCTTTGGGCAGATTGCAGATTAGCATGGTGAAGAGGCACAGTGGGGGGCGGGGGGCCCTGCCCTCTTTTAATATTTAATTAAATGTTTTGCAACTGTAAAGACACAACCACACCCACAGAGTCTATATACATTTTATTTGCACTTTCGAACCTAAACATTCAGATAAAGTACAGCATTTACTGCTATTTTTACCACATTGACATTCTGATAACAAAATTTGACTCACAAAATTTGAGTAAAACAAGAACTTACTGGAACTATATATTACATTTTGAGATGTTCATCCTTTAGAGATTGGAAACTTTTCCGCTTTCTTCTTTTTTTCTATTTGAATCAAATTCCACATTTTCCAGACAAATAAACTATGAATCTGATTGGTCAAGCTCCAACCAAATAAGCAGAGCCTTAACCACAGAGTTGTGGTCTTTGAGGCTTGGTGTCTTCCAACGTTTGGACGTCCAGCACACCATAATCAAATGACTGAATGATCTGCTCATATACACAGGTTCTGTAGACTCCTGTTAATTACTCAATATGTAATTGATGCAGAGGTGTATTAAGGTCCTTGTGTGTTTTGCAGGGTGCTTAGGAAAAAGATCATTACTATCATTGTCATTATTAATGAAAACCAGGTATAATTTTTCTTCCACTTCCCAGCCTTTGAATTGTTTGCATCATGTTCAATCCCATTAACATACTTTGAGGTTGGAGGTAGAAACATGACAAAATGCTAAAAAAAAAAAAACTTCAAGACTTATGAATACTTTTGAAAACACAGCAAACCTGACTCACACGAGTGTACGGTGCATGTTTATCAGTTAAAGTCTGTGCTTTGGTTCTTCTTTTTTAAGAGGTGACCTCTGTGACCCGGGTCGCACAAAGACGTCACGTGACACTGAATGATCTTGAAACGTCCCTGGTGATATTCCTCTGGCCAGCTGATCAAAAATGCACCAAATAAGAGACACCTAGTCACGGGTTTCTGCTGCATCAGTGTGGCTGTCTTGACAATTCCTAGCGGCAGGTAGAGGGCTGCATCCTCTTGGACGCATAGAAACAGCGCAGCTGAAACTTTCTAGTAACTCGTGTTGCACGGAGCACTTGGGGACAAGCTGTACCCAATGAATGAGCCACTCCTCTGACGATGCTGCCGAGCGCTGCCCTGCCCGACACGCCCCCAGCATGGATACAGCGAGCTGGAGCTGGCGCTCGGGAGACGCGCTCACTGTGCCGGAGACAGTCTGAAGCCGCAATGGGAGTTAACGCATCCAAGTTTCAAGAGTTCCTGCTACCGGTGTCGCTGCACTAAACAAAGACTCTGGTTTCTGTTTTCTCCCTCCCTTTCTATCTCTCTCTCTCTCTCTCTCTCTTCTCTCTCCCTCCCTCTCTTTCTGTGCGAGGGAGAGGTCTTCTCTGCGTTTTTTTTTTTCTTTTTTTTTTGTTTGGTGCGAGGCGTTTCTCGCACAGGATGTTGATGATTTTGGAAAGCCGGGTAAGATCATAAAGTCAGTTCTCTCTGATGAGAACGACCTCCACCTCACCGCCACTACACAAAGGGAAGCACGGTACAAGTACTTTTTTTTAATTTTTTTTAACAACCTCCTACACGCGGATTTATTTCATTTCCCCCCCCCTCCGAATGTCATTAAGAAGCAGAGGAGGCTGTTTCAAAGACAGAATGGATCACTTTGCAGCAGAGTGCCTTGTTTCAATGTCCAGTCGTGCAGTTGTTCACCCTCCTAAGGGCAACAGGGAGATTAAACCGGAGATCCCAACCTCTTCCAGGACAGGGGAAGAAATAAAGGAGCCCCTGGTGAAGGAGAACTCCTCGATTTTCGTGGTGGCGAGGATCCTGGCGGATTTTAACCAGCAGACACCCAACGGCGTTGCCGAGCAGGCAAAGATAAAGGAGGAGAGCACGCCGAACCTGAGAGAGGATGGAAACTCTGCCACACCTACCGCCACCTCCGATCCTGCGCTCAGACAAAGAGGCAAGAGATCGAGAGGTCGGACAGAGCAGGAGCCACCTCAGAAAAAGCACAAATGCAACTATTCTGGCTGTGAAAAAGTTTATGGCAAATCCTCCCACCTCAAAGCTCATCTAAGGACACACACAGGTCAGTTCGATCGGATGCAGGTGCTGAATGCTGCTTTATTGTGTTCCCGTTTCACACGGGAGTAAAAGAAAACTGAAAATACTGTCTGATCTAAATAAGGTATACATTAAAACTGCTTTATTATTGGTGAAATTCGGGAATCAACCTGGAATAAATAAAACTAACGCGCTCGCGTTGCATAGCTTCATAATGATACATGCATTGCTCTGAGTTATATAAACTTTATAATGTCCTTTTAATTTCTGGGAAGGGAGGCTTGAAAACAGTGCCACTCCCACTCAAGTCTTTAAGCTTTGTCCTCCCCCCTCACCTCCACTCTTCCTCCTCCCCACTGAACACACGCACGCACATCCACCACCGCATTGGACAGTATGTTCAAACTGAAACTGCGGTGCACACGTAGAACTACATTAAGCTACGTTTCCTGAAGACGATTGCTCCTTTAGAAAAAAAGTAAAAAGAAATGGTTTGCTTCAAAGCAGCATGAGTTTCTGAGAAAAAAAAAAAAAAGCAAAACATGTAGCCATAGATGCGCAGAATCAGTCAAGTGTGCATGGGCATGCAGGAAGTTTGCAGAATCAGTCCAAAAAGTCCAATAAATGCGCTGCGAATCAACAGCGTGTGTCGCATGTGACCTTCCCTTACACACACACACACACACACACAGCCCAAAAAATGCCCATACCTCCAGTTTTTAGCGCTTTGCATTCCACAGGATAGGACACTGAAGAAGGGAGGGGAGATACAGATCGACTGAAATTGGGGGGTTGATAAGAGCTGTGCAGTCAGTCGCCTGTCTGCCCACAGCCCTTTGTTATGATGTGCCACACCCCCGCTAGACAGACTTGCCAGCTGATCTGGCCAGCAACAGACTCAGCTAGCTGAGCCTCGACTGAGGAGTCTCACTGCCGTTTCCTCTTGATGGGAGCGCTGCAGCTCACACCTCATCTTTTCGCTCCTCTTCTGCACACGCACGCACATGCATCATCTTGACAGGGCTGAGAAGAAAACTGAGCTCTATGGATCACAGGATGAAGCACCTTGCGTGAGCGTGACCCACATTTGAGTCACTTGCTGCAGAAACGTGCAAGCATGAAAAAGCAGCTCCAAGAGATCCAACATATGTAGGGCACCCTCATCTTCAAGGCATTTTGTTTTTATCCATAGTAACAAAACAACAGTTTTGTGTTTTGCTACAAACCTTAGTCTGAGTCCCAATTCTAGCCATTCCCCCCTTTCCCACAGCGTTTAGCACATGTAGTGCTTATGGGAAATGGGACACTCCTTCAAGGAGCTGATTCATCATCAGTGCCTACTGATTTCTGCCAGACTGAATAAAGCAAGCAGTCTAAATAGCCACTCGCATACCATACATTTTAAATATTTATTCAGGAAGAAGAAAAAGCAGGCTTTGAGTCAAATTGCCCCTTTGTCAAAACTTATTGTATTCTTCCTCATAGTTTAGTGTATTCATAAACGATGGAGATAAGTAATTATAAAAATGTGCAAATCTCACATATAATTTATTTCAGATGTTTGTTAGAAGACATTTGTATTACACTCCACTTTCATTGGATTGTGGTTCTGATCCTTGTTTAGACTATAAAATGAAACAGATTGTAACAGAAAACAAATTGGCTAACCTCCTGCTGGTATTATTTGTGTTTGTAAAACATATAATCACATTAGTGTAAAGGAGACTGATAGAAGAACATGGACAATGGTTTTAAATCGTTTCTAAAGTGGGCAGTAAATGTCCCAAGGTACATGGGCAAGACTTTGGACACAGGCACCTGCGAAAAATTATATAAAAAAAAATCAAGCCCTAATAAAAATCTGACTCTTGTTTTTTGCATAAGTGAGTGAGAAATATAAGTATTTACATATGCAAATATTTACAATTGTTAGACAAAACTGAATTCTTCTGTTCTTTTTGTGTCACAACGACTGAAATGTCAGTATTGCTGCTGCTAATAAATAATATGATTAATAAAAAAAAGAGAAACAAGCATTTTATTAAAAATATATACTTTATTCAATTAAATCTATAAAAATTCAGTAATCCAATGTACTAACCATTTTATATATAGTTGTTACAAAACAGCTGATTTTAGTACAATAGTCTCCAAAGTTGAAAGGTATGCTATGCTGACAAATTTATATCTATCTATCTATCTATCTATCTATCTATCTATCTATCTATCTATCTATCTATCTATCTATCTATCTATCTTTTGCCTTTAAAAAATGTAAAACCCTATGCAGATTAGCAATAATTATTAACAATGAAACCACATGTAATACAATGGTCATTGTGCCGTCAAAAATATGCTAACCGGAGTCCATTTTTAGAGGGTAGAAAGCCCTCCTCCTGCTCTACAGAAAGCTTTGGAACGCCACACCCCTAAAAAAAATCTGTATTGGGGAGAAATGGGATTCAGCCTTTGTCTTTCCTTCGTCTCAAACTCGTGTCACTTTATTGGTAGATTTATCAGCATTCGTAACAACTGCACGAAGATATACTATCCGGTGAAAAGAAAAAGAACAGACCAGCCTTAAACACACTGGGAGGCCAAATGCTTGAGGATTTTCTCTGTGGCTCGTACAGAGTCATTTACTATTGATTGGAGTCAACTTTTACTGTTGCTCCAGCAGAGCCGACTGCCGGCTGTTAAATCGCCATTTGTTAGGAAAACGCTAAAGGAGAGAAATGTGGCTTATAATTACAACAAAGAAGATTGTGTCTATTGTAATTACTGTTTTGTTTTCTTTTAGTGCAGCGTTACCACAGCTCATTATTCGTTTGGCCTTCCAAGCCTTTTCTTTTGTCTTATTGCTCGGCTTGTGTCCTATAATTTGTTTTAATAAGGATGGTTTGTTTTGATTTAATTGGTAAGTTCCAGAAACTCCTAATTTTGCTGCCTTGTCGCAGAGAAAGCTCCAGCCTTGCTTCGAGCAGTCAGTTCCCCCCTCCATCAGCCCAGATCATGTGAGTTTTGTGCGGTTTTTATTGCTCCGTGCTCGCCCTGCCCTCGTCTCCGTGCCTAATAAGCGTTTCCTTTCTCCTGCCTCTCTGTTTGGATATGCTCCGTCGTCTGGCTTGCGCCACTGGGCAGTGTCCTATAAATTCTGATAATAATGACCCTCTCTTCCCGTTTTACTGGGCAGGTCCAAAATGTGGGTCATCTGAGTTTAGCAGGGCTGCCTCAGCCAATCTTAGCATGTTTTCATGGAGTCAGACTCAGGCAGCCTGCTTCCTTTCAGCCCATACTAGCAGAATCACGAGAGAACGGATCCCAGCCTAGTCAGGTTCAGCCAAGTGCTGCTTTCTAATTGAAGGAGAAACACTGTAGACAACAAACAAAGAGCCAGGGACAAGATGTTCCCTCTGGCTTCTGACACTCAGGTTTGCCAGTTTTTTTTTTTTGTAGAGGCCTTTAAAAGGAGCAGTCTGTTTTTCTTTTTTGTTTTTGTTTGTGTGTTTTTTCCTCTCTTTTACAAAATGCTCATGACCAATAAAAACAAAAAGAAAACTGTGGCCTAGAACATTTAAATTTTATAATTTTATTTGAAAATTCCTGAATAAACATGTAATTATCACTTTTAGTTTGTTTAAGTATGTTGCAAGCTGTTAAGGGGTTTGTAAAGGGCCAGTTCCTCAAAACTGAAGCTTTTATTTTATGCTGCTAATTTGGTTTTGCACCTTACTTCCTTTGCATTAAATATTCTAATTCTTCCCTTTCTTAAGATGTAAGTACACATTTCTTCTCTGGTCTGTGATTTGAAATCTTGGAACTCCAAGTTTGAATGCATAAACAGTTACCGTTTGAGGGGACCCCCTCATTGGAGATAAATAGGTTTCATTTTACGTTTCCTTTTGTTCACGCTGGGTTCAACGGGGACATCCTGGGTGTAGCGCACACAGGAGTACACACTGAATTTAAATCACTCATTATACAACATTGAGTTTGATGCTTAGGAATCCAGAGCAGTTTAAGGGTCTAAGGTTACCAGACGGCTTTGTTTGGTATCCTTATGTTGGAGGTGGAGCCATTTCTTTTTTCACGGCAAGCGTCCAGTGAAACGTGAAAAAAGCAGAAAAAAATGTGGTGACTTCAGACTGATTTACAAATGGAATGAGTAGTGGTCTATATTTTTTTTTCCAAGATTAATTTAAATTTTCTCTTGTATTAGACCCACCCAGTGGTGTGCTATGATTTTAAGTGAAGTCTCCTTAACATCCTGTAATCATGTCATGCACACTGCCATCTCCAGAAAACTGATGGCCCCTCGCTCTTCTTCCAACCAGGCCCCCCCACAGCCAGATCTTACAAAAGCCTGTCTTTTCAGGGTACAATACACATGTGAAACCTGCTGGTCACACAGAAGGGCCTGGGCCCAATATTTCTTAACGACAAAGAGCCTAATGACATATTTTACAGTTGGGTTAATGCTTTTTTCTGAACCTCTTTTGTGTTTTGCTTTGGTACCACTAATTCTGCTAGATGGCTGTGAAATCCTTTACTGTCCTAAACAATAAGTGGTACCACCTGGCAGCACAGCTACAGCCTGGTTCTTCAAATGTGCTACCTATTTTTAGTCAAATAACTCTGGTTAATGACATTTTTACATGGGAAATTATCCCAAATTCCACATGGAAAGAGCAGCAGGAGTCCCTCATTATATATGCTTCATCTCTGCCAGTGGTTTTATATTTGGCTGAACTGTAACACAGAGTGCTCAGTGTTCCTGTGTGGTTGGTGGCAGTGATGAGGTATCAGGGTGGGGATTGGGTTTTCCTGAATCCATTCCTGGCACGCTAATGGTTAAAAAAATAAAATAAAATACTGAGGGGCTGAAGAGTTCAGTCTGCCTAACTGACCAGCAGCAGGACTTCCACCAAATAATGCTGTCGTACAACATATTATGAAACCTCAGAATCACATTCAGATATTTAGATAATGATGTCAGATTTTGCTGCTGCTACATTAATGACATAG